AGACACAGGAGCAGAGACTGGCCCTGGGACAAGGCTCAGGGCACATAGAGGAGGCCCAGGATGAAGCCCAGGAGACAGGAACAGACCCAGGACAAGGCTAAGGGCACAGGGAGAAGGCCCAGGAGGCAGGGACCGGCCCAAGACAGGGCAAGAGGTGGCGACTGGCCCCATGACAAGGCTCAGGACACACAGAGAAGGCCCAGAATGAGGCACAGGAGGTGGGAACAGGTTCAGTACAAGGCTCAGGGCACAGGAAGAAGGCTCGAGGTGAGGCCCAGGAGTCAGTGCCGGGCTTAGGACACACGGATGGGCCCAGGGCAAGGGTTGACAGATGAGAACAAAGGCTGGGACATGGCCCTGGGATGAGGCTCAGGACACAGGAATAGCCCCAGGACAAGGCTGAGGACACAGAGATGAAGCCTGGGAGGCAGTGACAAGGCCAGGGACAAAGCTCAGCAGGCAGGGACAAGGCCCAGGCTCAACTGGAGGATTCCTCCTTGCTTCCAATGGTGCCCATATCAAATAGAGAGCCGTGCAGTGATCCTTTTGGATGTCTACACAATTATCTTCACTTACACAGGGTCCTCAGCAAAGCTGTGTGTTCACTGCATATTTCATTGGTTTCACAATGACTTGGGGTTGGTTTGGTTTGGTTTGGTTTTTTTTGTGTACCACAGTGTTGAAAGTGTTTGCTGAAACCAAACTGCGCTGGGAGTTTTGTGAGTGATTTAAATAAGGTTTTAACATACAGAGCTGTGGTGACTTGGCAGGACCTGTTTGGGAATGTCAAATATACATTAAGTACTCTGTGAGCAGCTGAAGTGGCTGTTGTGGGTAGTCCTTGTGGTGAAAGTCAAGAAGATGCAACAGGCAATAATAATCCTGCCTTACATCATTTCCAAGCAAACAAAAATATCGTTCTTCCCTTATTTTGCTAGTGATGTAGATCATCAAAAAGCTGACTGGGTTAGTATCCACGAGCAAATATGCCAGCTGCTGATTCCAATCCGTACGTCCTGCCCTTGTCCGCTTTCTGAAAGAGAAAGAAAACATGACATGGAGCAGCTGGTGAAGAGGCAGGTACGTACATGAAAAATGAATACCGCTTCAAAATGCTGCCAGTTAAGTTTAATTAGATCTCTTCTTCCTATATTTTGATGTACGTAGTGTTGGGAGGGCACCTCGTTGGTTGATTGGTACTTAGTTGTAGAGCTTTTTTTAATGGGGAAAAAAACAAAACCAAAAACTCTATAACAAGGGGAGTATGAGCGTCCTCTCTCCAGTTCTGTGAGCTGTTTTTGCAGCCCTGACTCGAATTCCTGAGCTTCCTGAGGCAGCGCCAATCCTGGATCTCCCACCTTGTCAGGCAACCAGTCCATCTCCCTGGTTAGTCTGTGATCTAGCCGAGTGTTGCTCCTCACAGACTGTCCTCATCCTTCACTGGTCAGAGGGATTCCCCTTTCTCAAAGCATGGGGCAGAGAAATAAAGTTCCCTCCCTTCGTTTACCTTTGTTACCAGCTTTAAACGCCCTTTCCCACTAAGTACGGTCTTTTTATCTCCGTTTTTTGGCCTGGTGGGTGGCGCAGATGTGCGGCTCCTTTCCAACCTGAGTGGTTTTCAACTCTTTTTTGTTGTTGTTTATGGGGTGGCAGGATCTGCTTTTCCACAATGTTGATCAAATAAAATAACCTACCCAAATACATCTGCTGCTTAAAGTGATCTTGCCCATAAAAATAAATTCTCCTCCTGTCGTTGCATAACTCCTCATCACAGAATAATGGGACCAGCAGAACAGCTGAAAGTGAGCTGGGAACAATCAAACGGTGCCACCAAGAAGAACGTCATTAATCTTCCTGATTGTACGTCACTAATTATGTTTAAGGTTCTTTCTGGACCAGATGCTTTGGTGACTGGCTCATTGCTGCTCTCTTTCCTGGTAGCATCCAGAAGGAGAAAATCTGAAAGGGTGGAACCTGCGTAGACTGAAGTCCTGCGCGGTGAAAGCTTGCGACAGGCTTTAGGCAGCAGATTCCTTCAGGCTGTGTAGGAATTGGGAGCTGGCAGCCCAGTTTGGTTTTGTAGGTCCCATCTGTTTGAAAATCACAGGCCAGGTTGTTGGCCAAAGTCCGAAGAAGGTGTGTTAGAACAGGATGTCCCAGAAGTGACAGGAAAAATGCAAAAGCTCCTTTGTTCCAAATGACATTTAAGTTGGTCTTTTATAAAGTCTGCAATGAAGAAAGTTAAAATTGGTCTTACTGGGGGTGGTGGCAGGGTTTTTTTGCATCTTTAACTGCTTGAAACTTTTCTAAGGAACCTCACCTACATGTTGAACACTGATGTTGAATCATCTGGTATTACATCATTGATTTTATAGCAGCTAAAATTATGCTATATGCATTACAAAGCACCACGTGACCGCCAGATCAAGGAAGTCCTCCTTGATTAGCTGGAAGCCAATTGTTTGTTTGTATGAGGTTCCAGTGGAAGACAGCAGGAGAACGGGAGCAACCCTCCCCTTGATCGGCGCACACACCTCGCTTAGCACCTGCATTTGAGCTGAGGCCTGCAGTGTCATCATGGGAAAAGTCACAGAGAGCAGACTCCAATTTTTTTTTTTCAAAGTATACATTTTTATAGGATCTATAACAAGCCTGTTACATTCGTTCATTGACCTTTGTCTCCAGCCTGTTTAAATAAAACACATTATGGGAACAGTATGTACAGGGAGACTTTGCCTTCCTTCTCTCCTAAGAAAGGAGGGGAAGAGTGGAAACACCCCGTTACCTGCTTGCTTCCTCAGCAAGTCTGCAGCTGCCGGCCTGCAAATGAAGTCTGCCTTTACGTACAGCAAGGTATAGGGTAGACAATGTGTGGCCTAGATGTACTGACAAGCATTGGAAGAGCAGTACAGAGAGGGTGAGGTTATTTACTGCCCCATCTTGATGGCTTCATCACATTCCTGTTCACAGAGGCGGCAAAAATGCCTCAAAGAGCTTTTGGAGCTCAAGGAAAGCTGTGTAATCTCATGATGCTCAGAGAAAAAACCTTCTGCTCAAAGCCTGCCTATAGGTTTATGATTTTTTGGGGCATTTCTGCTGGACTTCACACACTCCTGTCTGGTGTTTAGAAAACACACAGCCCAAGCCTCAGTCAGGACGTGGGGAAGCCGGCACACATCAGAATGCCCCGTGGCCTGCGGGAAGGTGCACGAAGCTGAGAGCCAGGAGGTTTTGAGTTTCGTACCTCGTCTGCACTCCAAAGCTTTGTTGATAGAAATCTGCTTTTGTCAACATAGCCGGGGGGGTGCCTCCAGACAAGACCTCCAGACTGACAAAACTCCAAGTTTCTGTTTGTAGAATCGCTTCACCTGCCTGCGTGATGTCAGCTCACTGCAGCTCCTGCGTACAGGAAAAGATCCACGGCTCAGCCAGCTACAGCAGTCCCCCAGCACCCATGCTGTTCCTGCCGACTGCAGATTTCAACTCAAAGTGACTGGAAGCCTGCCTTCCTCTTTAAAGTGTCGTTTCTTCAAGCACACCATCATTTTTGGTACCCGTGAGTGAGTAAATGAACATGGAACAGGACCCCAAGCGTGTTCCCAACCCCCTGCTCTCACCTGGAGCAGAGCTGAGGTCCTTCAGCCTCCTCAAACCCCAGCTGGAGGAAAACTGCGTGGGGGCATCTTCAGAGAAACCTCTGTAATTGCAACACACATGAAAAGAGCCCAAAGTGTGCAGATCTGGGGGCGTGGGGCTCCACACAAGATGAAAAACCATGCAGGGCCAAAGCTAACGATGCCCCCAAGGTTTAAACTGCGCTGTCTTAAATATTCAGTGCTGCAGGGCTTCTGTTGTCTCCTGCCCTTCTTTCCCCTCCTGGGAGCTGTGCAAGAGCCTAACCCTTCACTTGTCCTTCCTGCAGATGTTTTCAGATCTCTGACATCATGGGAAGCAGCGATGATCCTATTGACAAAGAGTACAAAACAGAACGATGCTGATCTCCAGCACCTCCCCAGATGCCAATCTGCTTGATACCCACACGCCAAAGCTGGTGCTGGTTGCAACAGAGGAAAAGTGGCATAGGCAGAAAAGGCAGCCTGAAAAATAACAGCTCTTACTGCCCTGAGTGTGTGCTGGCGTTCCTTCGGGCACCACGTGCTCCCCCAACACGGTTGGTTTTGGTGCCTGTCTTTTTCACTACATACTGGTAGCTCAGGGGCTAGAGAGGGGATGACTGCTGTGTTTTCCAGCTCTGGACTCTCCTTGCTGTAAGCAGGGTGCTCTGGGGTGCATTCTTCGATGCTCTCATTTATCCAGAAAGGATGGCCCTTTATCTCAGCTAGGATCTCCAGGAAACACTCGCAGGGTGTCCTCGAGGTTCCCTATCCCTGAGCTGTGCCTTCACCCATGGCATGACTCTGTCTCTCTCTACGCACTTAAGGCTCAGCAAAATGCCAAACCTGGCTTCTGAAAGCACTGAGATTTGTTTTTATTTCCCTCTGCTCAGCGACAGCTGGAAAACAGAAGGCAACAAAGAGGTAAAACGGTATTTTCTGCCGGCGCTCGCTGCATGGGCCTGCCTGTGCCTCCCAGCAAGGGAAGAGCGAGTGCCTTGCTGACTTTCCATGGCAGCACTGCTAGGCACACCAGCAACAAGATTTCCTTCCGGGCAGCTTTCCCACTGCACCGCTTGTGTGAAAAGCCAATGCAGAAGTATTGGGAGTTGGCAACAGTTACACTGAAAGCAAAGAGAAATAGATAAATAAGCATACTGGCTCTTTTTTGCTGGCACGTTGTTAAGGGCACAACATCTATGGTTGCCGTAGAGCTCTTGGCAATGCACATGCATTCAAACAGAGACGTGTTTATGGGGCTGGTGAAGAGATCAGCGTGAAAAGACCAAACGTGGCACAGACTTGCGAGACGCAGCAAAAGGCAGGGATCAACTGTACGTACGGGAAATGCTATGGATTCTGACAACAGAAATCCTGCAGAAGCTGCTTGACCACCAAACCCAGCTTGGGTGATGGATACACAGGAGTGTAATGCTGGGTGTTGTGATTTTCATAGGCTTTCTGGGCTCCACACCCAAAATACCAGGCCCAGAAGTGGCCGGGAGAGGGTGGGAGGAAGCTGCGGCGCCACGTGAGGAGCTCTCTCCTCGCTCCCAGGCTGCGTCTCCTGCAGCTGGAGGTGTGCCATGCTGGCACCGGCGTGGCAAACCATACGCTCCGCTGCTTGCTATGAGTCACCGTTATTACTGTCAGCAAAACCCCGCTGTAGCCCCTTTGTCTAATCCTTTCTATGGTCTTGTGATGATCGTTTTCTGTGCTTCGCAGCCTTGATTGCTGCAGCCTTATTAGCCCTTTTTGGTAGGCTTCAGGGATTCTTCATCTCGTAAGACACCACATGACCTAAGAGGATGTCCAAAGCTGTTCCTGCTACAAGTAGGAACGAAAGCCAAGCTGTAATATGACAGCTTTAATTTCCATCCGTTAATTACAGACCCAAACAACGTTGCAATCACTGTTTTATGGTTTGCAAACTTGAATGTAAAAAGAGAACCGTGGGTGTCACTTCTCCTCTGTCTCATGACTACGTTTCCCTGCAGAAATACATCATCGATCTCGCGTGCAGCACAGCCCAGGGGTTTCTTTTGGACAGAAAGCACCAAGAAGCGATACCTGCAGCTCTGCATGCACTGCATTTCAGTACTGAAGTGTACGGCTCAAATTCCGTGCAATTGGTGCCTGCTTATCTGTTCCTGGCAGAGGCCTCAGCTGGTAAGTATTGTCTAAATAGTAACGCTGGCAAGGGCAAGACCTCCCGCGGGTCAGGTTTCTGGTTTCCTTTTACCATTTATCAGGCAAGGACCAGCTCTGCATTTCAACATTGTGCCATGTCTGTACCCTTCCCTGCCTCAAGGGCATTTCGGAGAGATTTGAGAAGTCGCACCCCGCCCCCCTTTTTTCTGTGTGGGTCTGGGGAAAAGAGTCGCTCATCGGTGATGAGAGAGCAATGAAAGCAAATGAAATGTCTCCTCCGTCTCTTCTGATTCCCACGAGACAAGCAATATGAAAATCTATTATTTACCTCTGTGGCTTCATAGGACTCTCGAAAGCATTAAATTCCCGAGGGTGGTTGGTTGCGCTCTTATCTCAGGGAACCAACAAACATTTCTGAGACCATTGCATCAGAGGAATGCCTCCGTTCATTCACAAAAGCGCGCTCTGCCTGGAGCAGAGCTCTTTCTCATTGACTCTATGCTTCATAAAAAATGTCAAATTAGGACTCTGCGTGTGGAGAGCTGCTCTCCTCAGCTGCCGACGTAAAGGACTGAGAAATCCCTGTAAATCATTGCCCATACAGGAGCGCACACAATGCTCCTCTGGAAGAATTGACCTGTCTCAAGGACTATCATAAATGGCGTGGCAAGAGAAGGAAAAAAATAATCCCATGAGTAATTCTGGTGTGATAATGCACGAGTCATTAGAGGCTGCCTGTAGCTAACCTGTTTTGAACACGTGTTTCAGAGCCATTGAATGCAATACACATTTCCTGACTGCTCCTGTAGCTCTAGACACCCAGTCTGGCTGCAAATTAGGTTTTGAACACCTGCCTGAATCGGGGGCACATGGAAGAGAAGTGGGGAACTCACAAACTAGGTCTGTGTATCAACCTACCTCAAAGGGAGAGGAGGCAGTATTCTCTACATTTCTAAATTTTTTATAAATGCTTTTTATCCTGCTTATTTCTACAGGTGTTGGCCACCTTCTCCAGGCATCTAAGTACCTGTCCCAAGCCCAGTGGATTGTCCTCAAAGCTCCAGACTGCAGTCTTGCTGTTCAGCATAAATTACATTGGAGTCTGGGGCTTTTCTATGCTGCGGAAGGAAACTTTGAACAGGCTTTGTATGACCTGGCGAATGATGTAAGCCAACTTACAATACAGAAACACTACGATTTTTCTTCCTTATCTAACACTTCCACGCTGAGATGAAAACCCCAGCGGGCAGATTTGCAATCCTGATTTATAGGCACTGAGGGTACACGTTACAAACACAACAATCTGTGTGTTACCAAAGTTATGTTTTACCCGTTATCCTTATTCCCTGGAAGTGACATAGACCTTGTCTTCACCACATCTGCTTATAAATTTATCTGTCAGCTTTGCCACGGTCCTGAGATGAGCAGACATTCCTACCCCAAACTGTTCTAGTTGCCTTTTATTTGACAGATAAGTTTCTTTGAAACTTGGCTATCATTTTCACAGAATCACAGAGTGGTTTGGGTGGGAAGGGACCTCAAAGCTCCCCCAGTCCAACCCCTGCCATGGGCAGGGACACCTCCACCAGCCCAGGCTGCTCAAAGCCCCGTCCAACCTGGCCTTGGGCACTGCCAGGGAGGGGGCACCCACAGCTTCCCTGGGCAACCTGTTCCAATGCCTCACTATTCTCAGAGTATATAATTTCTTCCTAATATTTAACCTAAATCTCCCCTCTTTCAATTTGAAACCATGACCCCTCATCCCATCGCTCCATGCCCTTGTAAGAAGTCCCTCAATTTTCCTCAGATTTTCCTCAATACTTCTCTGTTAGAGGGCGGTGCTCCACCAGCCACTATTTAACAAACACCTTATTTATCTGTTTCAAGATCCGGTTCAATAGCTTTTTCCCCAATTCAATCTTTTTAGCCACGAGAGTGGTTTGTCAGATTTGAAGCCGTTATTGCCAGCTGTGTCCCCCTGTCATTTGATCCCCCAAAGGCAGATGAACTTCACGAAATCCTATTTATGTCCCATGCAGACTATATTTATCCAGTGCAGAGTGATGTATCCCCACTACTGTTGAACTTGATAGTAGCTTTGTGTGGGTGTAAATGATGACACATGGTTGAGGAGAATTAGATCCTTTCCATTATAATTTTACAACCTTGTTTTTGCTTAGTCTCTAAACTTTTCAGGAGAGATTTCCTCCTGTGCTATTGGTTTTTTTAGGTACTCTGAATGTGGTGCCTGGAAGGCGTCAGGTAGTAAGTTTTTTGCTCTTTGCAAGCTGCCGGTCTACGTCAGAGCAGCCCAAGACCTGCCTGAACTTTGGCTGCGTGTCTGAGATCTGCTGAGAGTCACACGCCAGCTCAGAATAGCTGGAATGCTCCGCTGCCTTCCCACTGCCCGGGCTTCGGCTGGGCCTTCGGGGGGGCAGAAAACGGGCACCGGGGGCAGGAGCGGCGAGCTGAAAAGCGGCAGCAGGTTGTGCGTTTGAAGACGGGAGGGGTAGGGGTTGTGCCAGGAGAGGAGGAGAGGTGGGAAATCTGTCCCTGGGATAAGGTTCCTCTGCCCCAGCGAGCAAGGGATTTTGGGGCGTTGTATCCCTTTGTATAAACACTAACATGCAGGTTTTTTCAGTACCATGTTTTACAGTCATTATCAGGTGTAACTAACACTATAGTTACACAGAAAAAAGGGAATGCTTGCAATATATATGAAAAATGTCCCAGGTTTGATATGAACGTTAAACTTCTGCCTTTTTTTTAATATTAATTTCAGATTTACTTTGCTAGTTCTGCGTTTGGACCAAAATCTATTGAGACCTCGGGGGGGTATTTCCACATGGCTAATGTTTTCTGTCACCAGAACAAGATGGACATAGCAAACTCACTCTATGCTGAGGTTGGTAAACCCAAAGGTCATCCTCTATATATTTCTCAGGTTTTTCTGTGTTTTTTCTAATGTTTTTCCTGTTTCTGATTGCCTTTAATACAATGGTGACCATGTCAAGTGTCAGCATTGCCTTTTAGGATCAATCTCAGAAGCCCTGAATATATTTCTCTGAGTTAAAACCAGGAGACACTGATCCTGTACTCAGTTAACAATTGTTATTCCAGTTCATTGTTATTCGAAAATTGTTATTCAAGTCTTCGATTTGGGCATCCAGACCTTGTTAAAAAATAGCTTTGCTACCAAATACCCCGCAGCAGAGGTTAAAGAGAGTCCCAAAAGTAGAGAGGGTCACCAAGGAGTTTCCGTAGCCGGGGCAGAGTGGCTGAGCAGCAGCGGGATACAAACGAGTCACATAAAATTTATTATAAAATTGACTGATAACCAATGAAAAGCTACATTGATAAAAGATCGTCAGCACAGAGTGATCAAGCAAGGGGAGTAACGATTATCTAAGCGCTCTAATAACCAACAAAAAAAGAGCTTTCATTTCTTTAGCTTGATTTTCTGTGGAGATGAGGCTTTGGCAGCTACACAATCTGCCTTCATTCCCTTCGCAAACTTCAACCCAATTTGCTTTTGGCAACCAATTTAGTTAGATTTGTTCCTATTTGATGAAAATGAATAATGGGGGAGAGAAGTGAGCTTCCGACTACGGCTGCTGGTGGGAGCAGGGCGGTCATATCTCTACATGAGACACCCAGCTCAGCAGCAGCCAGCTCAGTAACCAGCAGGTGTCCGGTGATTGTGGTGGGGCCGTGCATTGCGGGACGCATTGTTTATAGAACAACTCATTGCTAAATACCACGTATTCATACGAGTGAAATGATTCATTTGCTTCCTGATAGGTAGCCGACATCTGGCATGCCTTTCTCCTGAAGTCAGTGCAAGTGCAGGAGCAGATTCTCAAGTCACAATCGGAAGTGTCTCCATTTACCGAGGACAAGGAAGTCGACGAAGACCTTATGAGTAAGCACCGCTGTTGCGCAGTACCGTTCGGAGGACAGGATTTTAAAGAATCCGTACATCCTACAGTTCATATTTACAGCACTGAGTTTTGCATAGCATTTCTGTAGGCCAAATTTAATTGGAGTCATGGATAGTTCTGCTGTTGATGCTCGTAGGGTTGTACTGAATGGAACAAACGAGGCCACTGTAGGAGTGAGGATGTTCAATGGGAACACACCTTTGCTCTTCTTGTTTACGTGCTCCTTTTCACAGCGCCATGGGCAGGGACTGTGACAGTACATGGTTTTACCTTTCAGGATTCCATTTCAACATCCTCATTTCTCTGCAGCTCCTTTGTTTCCATTTAATCATGTGAAAGTGACATTTCCTCTCACTTAGGCAGGTTTACAGCTCTGTCTTCTGAAGCAGGAGGACACACTGGAATAGCATGTGATAATTGGACCTATTAATCTGGAGAATGCTCTCAGGAGAGAAGCTGGGGAATCTCTCACTAGGACCTGTGTCCAGTTCTGGGCTCCCCAGTTCAAGAAAGACATGGAACTACTGAAGAGAGTCTGGTGGAGGGTTACAGAGATGATGAAGAGACTGGAGCATCTCCCATATGAGGAAAGGCTGAGAGAGCTGGGGCAGTTTAGCCAGAGTGGAACTTATCAACGTTTATAAATATCTAAAGAACAGGGGTCAAGAGGATGGGCCCAGACTCTCTTCAGTAATGCCCAGCAGCAGAACAAGGGGCAAGGGGCACAAACTGGAGCACAGGAAGTTCAAGCTCAACATAAGGAAAAACTTCTTTTCTGTGAGGGTGACAGAGCCATGGCCCAGGCTGCCCAGAGAGGTTGTGGAGTCTCCCCTGGAGACATTCAAACCCTGGACGTGTTCCTGTGTGATCTGCTCTGGATGACCCTGCTCTGGCAGGGGTTGGACTGGGTGATAGCCAGAGGTCCCTTCCAACCCCTATCAGTCTGTCTTGTGTGTTATTCTGGGACATAAGGGTGCATAAAACATTAGGAAATATGCTAGTGTGTGTAGTGCTACCCTATGCTCCACTGAGGTCAGACCAGACTCTGGTCTTTGTCTTCCTCCTACCAACTATGCTAAGAATACAGTCAGAGAGGAGAAGAGTTCCTGTACCCTTCACCTGGCGCTGTCTCCATCTGATAGGGACCACACCAAGACAGGGTTACACCACCTTTGGTGATGCCAGGAGTAGGAAAGTTGCTCTTTTCATGCAGCTGTGATGACTCCACATCCTTACTAAAGACTGATTGACACCATTACTGACTGGACAGAAAGGTATCTGTTAATGGGTGTGGAATTTGCATGGAGCTGAGGTACCGCGTTGATGCTTGTAGTAGAAATGCTTTGATGTCTGGAAGAGGTAACTGGACAGTTTTGAATGTATTACCTTGCACGTGTGTGTACATCCAACACAATCGTTTCTTTCTTGATGCAGCTGAAGCCCAGCAAGCAGAAGCCGTCCAGGTGCTGAACGTGGTGTTAGATATCAGAGAACGGGCACCAAAGCAACAACCTGGGGAAGTCACCAGAGTTTTGCATGCTCTCGCCATGCTTTATTACCTGATCATGGACTTTTCAAAGGTGAGTCTTCACTGGTGAGAGTGTCTGGGAGGGTTGCCCTGCTCTGTTTCAGTGCATGAAGCCAGTTACCTGTTCACCTGGCACCTCCTGAGTCCACAACAGCCCAGGAGCACTGGGTGACTGAGGATGGAGCTGCCTGAGTGGCTCTGCATGGAGCCGGCTCCTGATCTGTCAAGACTCACAAATCCCACAGGATCTGCTCTGATCTCTGCCAGGCCACCCCCAGGGGATCCCGTGTCACCCACACTTTCTGGGTTCGTCCTCTATCGGGGTCATCCTGGCAGAGGAGCTGTCTGTCCTGAGCTGCATTTAGACATCGGGTCAGGTGTTAGGCAGTGAGAAAGACACAGGCCTCGCAGTGCCCGTCCTTGAGCTAGAATCCCTGTAATTACATTCACTCTCTTGGTCTCTGTAGTTCAGTTTTGAATTAGGATTTGTCCTGGCTAAAAATTTCAGATGCAACTGCTAACTTCAGAGTGCTCAGTTCTCTGCTGTAAAAATCGTTGATTTTGAGGGAGTGCTGAGCAGAAAAAAAAGCAAAACTTTATAATGGTGAGAATGAAGGAGCTACCAAGGGAAATGAGGGATTTAGTTCAGACTGAGTCAATCCAGCTGTTTTTCTTTTTCCTGAAATAGCTTTGGGAATGTTCTGACGAGCTGCTGCGGGAGGCAGAGATCTGCAGCACAGGGGGCTAGGGTTGGTAATCTCCTCTGGCTGCACCACTGGATCCCGAGTATGCTCTGTCTCAGCTTTACTCTCTCCTGTAAAGCAGCTTGTGCAGGTCACCCTCGGGAGCAGACGGCAGAGCGGCTGGAGCCTGGCTTTGCGCTCTTCCAGCGCGCCTCTGGGGGTGTTGTAACTGCCCTTGAGAAAAGCCAAATTCCTGACAATTACCCTGCCTTTTCTGTTTGTTCCAGGCTCATGCGCTGGGGATGAAAGCCTTTGACCTGGAGAACAACTGCCTCAACCAGAGGCTCTGGAAGCCATTGGTCATTTGCTAAAATTGATTAACTCCAAGCTTTCCTACCCAAAATAAAGACCTCTCTACCAGAGCCAGGTGATCAGTTTTATTGGGTTGCTGAAAACAAAAAGCGTGATGAGCCGTGGGTCCGTTCTGCTGCCGCCTTCTTTCCTGATGTGTCCCCTTCCTTCTTGAGGTGTTTGAAAATCCAACTTTTTGGTACGAGTTAATTTTCATGTGCTGCTCAGCCTCCGTGGCCTGTGACGGAACAACAGCGCAAGGGTGGGAAACAAAAGCACAACCAACACAGGCTGCATAAATCATTATCTAATGATTTCTCATTGTCATTATCTGATCTATCATTAATCATTATCTAATGATTTATGAATAAACAAACAGCCTCTGACGTCCTCCCATTGTCTGTCCAGAAGCCAAGACCAGCTGAGAAGTGGCAGTTACTGGTTTCCTCAATTTTGCCTTTTGGTTTGATGAGGGCAATACCAGGGAGGGGCGCCGGGGAGGTCCTCGCCACTCACCCCACTCAGGTGGTGGTTGCCTGCTCCTCGATCGTGTATCACTCCTCTCTGCAGCGCCTCTGTCTCCAAATCCACCTTCTCACTTTGTGTAGGGCTTAGCGGAGTCGCGAAGCTCTGGACACTGCGGGACTTGCTTCTTCCGCTCATGGAAGAACTCGCAGCCACCACGAGAACATCACGAGGGGCTATGGAGCAGTCTGGAGGGAAAGGATTTACAGCCCAGCCAGCTCCAAGCAGAGCCTCTGACCCAAAGAAGATGGGTTCCTCATGGGTATTTAAGCATTGCAGTAGCTCTGCTGCTGGCCTGAGGAAGAGGAAGTCCCTTGTGTCCCCATCTGCTGCCACCGCGCACGCTCCCAACCCAGAGAAGTTACTTCATATTTTTGCTGTCATTTTCACAGAATCACAGAGTGGTTTGAGTGAGAAGGGACCTCAAATCTCCCTAATCCAACACCCCCATGGGCAGGGACACCTCCACCAGCCCAGGCTGCTCAAAGCCCCGTCCAACCTGGCCTTGGGCACTGCCAGGGAGGGGGCACCCACAGCTTCCCTGGAAGCACGGGACAGCCTCGGTGGCTGGGAGAGGTGAAGGGAAACTCGCCCTGCTGCTCTGGTTTGCATTCAGCTGAGCTTTAAGCCTGCGATTAAGTCTCATTTACTTCAGGAGGATTTACGAGTGCATTTAATTGTCTCGCTGAGTTGGGATGGAGTCAAGTACGCTTTTTAAATGCTTCATCAAGCCAGGACCTGAGCAATTAAAAGGGATTGGTACTGCTAGTGCAGGGAAAGCCTCCGCTCCAGCCCCTGTTCATTCCCACGGGGTGGGACAGCACCAGTCAGGGTGCACAAGGGGCCCCAGGGCTGCCCGGCGCAGGTGACGGGCAAGAGACCTGGGAATGCTCCCACTGGAGATAGCAGTGACCACGGTCACCCTCGGCAGAGCTCGCCACGGCCGCAGCGACCACCATTGCAGGGCAGGGGACTGTGCCTGCTGGCACAGAGCCTGGGGGCGTGGAGGATTTGGGTCACCGTAGCCAGGGATTTGGAGCTGTGGGCTGGATGTGGCTTTAATCCCTCAGGGACACACTGCAGCCAGGCCAGCAGCTCCATGTCCCCACTCCTGGCTGGCTAACACCACAAAAAGACGGTGCGAAAAGGGACTTTGCGTGGGGCAGAGCGTTGGCAGGAGCAGGGATGGGAGAGGGCTGGGAATGGAAACGTTAGCGTTGGCAACGGGAAGAGCCCTAGGCAAATAAAGAACATTTTGGGGAGCTTTGAAGGATTTTTACAACAGCCATTTCATTTCCAGCACGTGCACTTCAAGGCAAAGAGACGTTTCAATAAATCGCAAACAAAAAAGCCTGAAGTGACCAAGATCAGCGTTTCTTTGCCCGAAAGTGTTCAGACTTGCAGCTCTTGGCACCTCCTCAGTTCGAGGGGAATGAAAAAAACACACCAAGAAGCAGCAGCCTCCCTCCCTCCCTCCCTGCCATGTTCGAGTGCTCACAGCCACAGCTCCAGCCCAGGCACCCTTCACAATCCTGGGCTCCCCCATGCACCCCATGGCAGTGGGTGCTGGGGGGGGCAATTAAAACCTGCTCAGGTGCCTCAGGAGGGAGTTTGGCAACTGGGAGAGCCATTTCCGTGGAGGAAAAGCTTTGCAGGGATGAGCACACACCAGTGTACAGTGAGGGCTTCCCAAGGGAGCAGGACTGTGCCAACTCCAGCAACCCCCACATTTAGGAAAGACACCACAAGCCACGACCCCAGAACCACAGCTCCAACCCAGCACCAGGGCAGGGGGAGTGAATTCTCCCACTAACAGCAAGGTCCAAGTGGAGAAACCCCCCCAAGGGAGGCAGAGGCCTGGGGGGGTCCCGGCTGCGGCGCAAGGAAGGGACAGGAGGCAGGCGGGGGGGGGGTCGCTGCACACGTGGTTTATTGGTAGCACACCGCACACCTTGGCACTGCCTTTAGCTATTTTGTCTTAAAAAATAACACACACGCAGGCGCCGTGCTCCACAGAGCCGCGACAACTTCATCACAGGGCATCTTCATAGAGATATGTATTTTTTTTTTCTCCTCTTTTTTTTCCCCCCTACCTTTATTTTCTTGCAAGTGTCATCACTTCCAAACCAGGCAAATAAGTTAAAAAAAAATACTGTTTTAGAAAAACCGGCCTGTGGGAATGTGCCAGGAGCTCCCCCACCAGCTGCACGCGGGGACGAGGGTCGGGGTTTTTTCAGTTTTCTTCAAAAAGGACAGTATGTCTTATTTTTTTAATATACTACAGCCTGAAATTCAGTGCAAGAGAGACAGCTACAGTGCAGGTAAGGAACTATACAAAAATCATCCTAACCATGTACAAGCCTTTTTTTTTTTCTTTTTAGTCGCTCTAGAAACTATACCTTGGCGTCTGTACCTTTTTGTATACATTATACAGTGTGAATATAACTCCAACGAATATTTACAGTACTTTGCTCATCAAATCGGAAACACTATAACTTAAAATCTCTACTATTAACAAACCATCGAACAAAAAATATATATAATATAAATATCTTCCAGTCTATACACAGAGCGGGGAGTGGATGCATCCGCAGGGTGATGAATTTTGGGGGGGTGGGAGCGATGGAGGATGGGGTGTTGCTGTAGTGCGTGGCTGCCGGTTCGCTCTGCCGGCGCGTCACCGTCGGGCAAATATTGCCGAGATTCAACCAAAAATCAAGAGAAATCACCCCCCACCCCCAGGTCTGTCTCCCCCGAAATTCAGGTGAGGGAGAGGCAAAGCCGCTGCAGGGCAGGGACCATCACAGCCCCCAGCGTGGGGCAATCCCCATCCGCCAACACCCCCGGGGCTCAAAATTGATTCGACTGCTTTAAAAAATAACTCGTTTTAAAATTAAAAAAAAAATGGTTGGTTTCGATTTAGTCAATTTACCTGATTTTTCTACGATTAGAACGTTAAAAAAAAAAGGTTTCCAACTTTAAAAACTTCCGCTACGTGATTGCTCGTTAAATAACCTATCGCGTCATTAAAAAAAAAATAAAACGGGAGCCGCCCGCCCGCTGGCGGAGGCTGCGCGGTTGGGTTTTAAAACATCGATCGGCTTTGAAATCCTGGACGCGAAACCAGCTAAAACACCAAAAAAATGGTTTCTAGGAGAAAAAATAACAATAAAATAGGTCAGTCTGTCGCTGATAACCCGGGCGGGCTGGAAAAGTGTGTGCTCGCACACCCACCCCCCCGCACCCTCCGTCCTGGTTTCTGTATGAAGCGTTTTTAAAAAAAAAATCAACCCCAAAAGTGAAGAGGGGGCGGGCAGGGCCACGGGCGGGTCAGACCTGGGAGTCGGCACCCAAGCTGTGGAACTCATCCGGGGTTTTGTCGCTCTGGCTGGCTCCGCCCTGCCGAAAACCCGAGGCGATTTCATCAAAGGTCCGACCCTTCGTCTCCGGCACCTTGAAGTAGGTGAAGATGAAGAAGAGGACCAGCAGCACCGTGAAGATGATGAAGACGTAGGAGCCGCAGAGTTGCTGGGAAGAGGAAGAGAGGAGGAAGGGGTGAGGGCATGGATGGAGGTGGTGCTCCAGCACCGGTTCCAGGAGCGATGGACCACAGCTGAACAACCATCCGTGGTCCAGGACCTGGGTCCTCCTCCTGTGTAACCTACCTCCAGCTGGAGGGGACCCGTCCAGATCAACCCCCAGCTCCTTCCCTAGATCCTGGCCCCACTTCTCCTGCCCTGGGCATCCACCCAACCAAACCACTTCCAAGGCTCACAATCGGTCCCACAACCCCCACAGTGTGAGGCAAGGCTTGGCACCCCCACCCGTTCCCACCAGGAGCACCAGGAGATGATTACCGCGATGTACTGGAAGCCCATGCCCACGATGAAGTTGGAGGTCCAGTTGGACAGGCCGGCGACAGCAAAGGCAGCGGGACGAGGGCCTTGGCTGAACAGTTCGGCCACGATAAACCAAGGGATGGGGCCTGGACCGATCTCAAAGAAGGCCACAAACCCAAAGATGGCCACAATGCTGAGGTAGGACATCCAGGGCATTTGGTCCTAGTCCAGGGGAGAGAAAGAAGGTCAGTTCAGTAAAGGGGAATGAAGCATCGCTGATGAGGAGACCAAAGTGAGCATGGTGCTGGTAGAGAAGCCATGAGGTTTCTCCAAGTTTCTGGGACCTTGAGACCGCTCCTTGGAGGACAAGCCCTTCCTCATCTCCAACCAGACCTCCTCCTCCAAGCCACTAGAGCGAGGGGCAGCGCTCAGGACCCCCTCCCAGCCCACCCGTCCCCTCAACGCCCATCACTCACCAGCAGCGTCAGGGCAATGGTCATGAGCACCGCGCAGCCCGCCATCCCCGCCAGGCCGATGAGGTGGAGGGTCCTGCGTCCGGCTCGTTCCACCACAAAGAGCTGTTGGATGGAGACAGGCGTCCATCAGCATGTCCCCAGCCTGGAGGAAAGCCCTCTTCTCTCCACCTTTCCTGGTGAGAGCTTGGTGGGCCAAAACTCACCGAAACGACTGTGAAAGCCGTATTCACCACGCCAGAGCCAATGGTGGCGTAGACGGGCTGCTCCACACCCGACTTCTCGAAGATGCTGGTGGAGTAGTAGAAGACCTACGAAGGGCAGAGATGCGCCATGAGGAAAGCTGCCGGGTCTCTGAGCCAGGCTCTGGGTGAAACCAGCTGATCCACGGCCATCTGGGTCCCACCAAAACTCACCGCGTTGATCCCCGAGAGCTGCTGGGACAGCTGCAGGACGATTGCAATGAGGATGGGCTGGCGATACATGGGGGAGCGGAACAGCTCCATTATGGTGACCTTCTTCTCCCTCATCATTTGCCGGCTCTCCTCCTTCATCTCCTGGAGGTCGCTGCTGACGTCCGTGGTGCCCCGCAGCTTCTTGAGGACTAAGGGGAAGAGGTGGAGTCAGGAGCAGCTGAGGACCCTCACATGTGGTAGGACGAGCTCAGGGACGAGGGTCTCTCACCGCTCTTGGCTTTGTTCTCTTCGTTGCGGTTGATGAGGAGGAAGCGGGGGCTCTCAGGGGCGAAGGGCAGGATGATGCACTGCAGCAGGGCAGGGACGAAGATGAACCCCAGGAGCAGTGGCCAGAGTGAGTCGTTTCCCATGATCAAGTCCAAACCGAAGACCTGAGGACAAGAGGGGTTGAGCCACCCTTTTCCAGCTCAAGTTAGACCCAACTCTGCTGCTCACAGGTGCACTACAGGCTTAGACGCCCATCAGAGGGGCCAACAGACATCTCATGATGCTGCCCATTCCACACCTTGGGATCTCACAGCATCCCTGCTCCTGGTCCATCCCTCCAGCTCCTTCTGAAGGGCCACGGAGATCCACAGCAACACCCAGTGCTGCTGCACTAAACCACCCCCTGTAAACCCTGAGGAGCATCAGCATCAAAGATGGGGTTCCTCCCCCCACTCCAGTCAGGTCTCCAGCACTTACCTGTGCAATGAGGATGCCCAAGACGATGCCAAGCTGGTGGAAGGTCCCCAACGCGCCCCGCAGTGCAGTGGGGGACACCTCACCCACATACATGGGCACAAAACCAGTGGTGAGGCCAGAGTAGAGGCCAATGATGAAGCGGCCGAGGATGAGCATCTCGAAGGACAAAGCCATCTTGGAGAAACCCATGAGGATGGCAGAAATGAAGGCCAGAATGTTGGACATAAGCATGGAGTTGCGCCTGGGGAAGGAAGGGAGGAGCGTGAGGAGGACCATGGGTGTCAGAGAGGCTGAAGGGGTGGTGGAGAACCCAATCTTCAGCTGTTGGCAGGAGCGAGGTGTCCCTGGGACTCCAGGGTGGGGTGAGGCTGCAGGACCCACCCCGTTGTGGTCCACCACACTGGGTGCTCACCGTCCAAAGCGATTGACAAACAGTCCCACGGAAAAGGATCCGATCATGCCTCCAACAGAGAAGATAGCAACGGAGAGGGACCAGAGCGTGGTGAGGGTGGCGGGGCTGATGGGCTCCTCATATCGGTACTGCCAGGTACGGTTATAGAAGTCCTCAATCACCTGCACAGGAGGGGGGAGAAATGAAGACATGGGTGAAAACCACCTTCATTTCACCTGCACCAGCAGTGTTAGGAGTCACCCAGCCTCAGCCCGGCCACCTACAGCCCCTTGGCCGGCGAGCGCAGCTCACAAGACGATGCGTCATGGAGCCGCTGGGCCAGTGGCTCAGCTCCAACCCAAGGGAGGAAACCTGCTGGGGTGTGCGGGGGAAATGCAGCCGGACGGGTTCTGGGCTCGCCCTGCCGACACTCGGCCTTGCCAAAATCCCTCTTTCGCCTCGCGGGGCAGCCACAGGGAGGTCACGGCTCCTCCCCGGGGCACAGGAGGCGGCGAGGGATGCTTCGACACAGGGAGGGGAGGAAGATGCTGGAGGAAGGGGAGGAGGATAGTGGGGTCATTGGGGCAGTTCTGGGTGGGAGAGGTCAATTCCCATCTCCCTGGATGCTCCCAAGCCGAATTTCTAGGGCTTTTTTTCCACAGTACTTCCGTAACCCAGTAATTCTGCAACGCTAACATCCAAGACAAGCGCTTGTTTCCAATTACCATCTACACAGAACACCCTTTTTAATATATTTTAACTATTTTTGATGTATTTTTAAAGCCAGCTGAAAGCTTCAAGTAAATTATTTACGGGTCACCCACACCCAAAACAAAAAAGCCAAGGGCTCAGTAACACGCCCGACCAACCCTGGCAGGAAGGAGCCAAGGTTTTGTGCCAGCTGCTGCTGGACACCACGCGGCCCAGGGACCTCGCTGCTGCGAAGGCTTCCCCACGCACTCAGCTCCTGATTGAGCATTTGCACGATTGCGCTTCGTTTTCCAGATTCCCCATCGCTCTGAGCGCAACCGAGGGCCCCTGGCAGAGGCAACACAAGAAATACTCCTTGTGCCTCACTAGAAACGTCAATAATGTATTTTTGTTTTAAGTTGTTGCTTTTACAAACCCCAAACCCACTAGGAATTCAGTATTCATTTGTCTTCTGCTTCACCTGGAGGTTTTGACACTTTGGGGGAGGGGGGTGGGTTCCCCTTTCCTAATATTACCAAAATAAATAATTGATACGATTATTCGGAGAACCCAGGACCAGCTCAGGCTCTCAGTGGAGGTCTCTGCACTCGTCCCACCAAACTTTGCTGTGCTCTAAATTCCTCTCTATTTTCCTCAAAAGCCTCCAGTTCTCTCCCTTTGGGGCAGAAAAAAAAATGAATCCAAGCAGCAGTGGATGCATCAAAAAAAAAATCCCCTACTCCTGTCCCTTTTCTTCCTGCAAAAAAGAAGATGGGACAGAAAAACCCACCATGAGCTAGCTGCTGGGACAGGAGAAGATGAAAAATTCAGAGTTTAAAGTGAGAAGCATGATAAAAATAATTTCATTTCCCAAAAGCTGGGGGTTTCCCCCCCCCACCCTCATTTTATTTCTGCTGAGCATTTTCTACCAGCCCTCACCCAGTCGAGCTGTCCCTCTACACCACAAACCCCACACTGATGGGCGACAGGACCACGAAACTGGCGCCCAACATCCTCGCGAGAGAGGAGCCCCTGGCTGTGGGGAGCTGCTGCCAGCAAATGCTGCTGCACCCGCACAGCTGGAGCCAGGGCAATGATCGCAGAATCACAGCATGGTTTGGGTGGGAAGGGACCTCAAAGCCCCCCCAGTCCAACCCCTGCCATGGGCATGGACACCTCCACCAGCCCAGGCTGCTCAAAGCCCCGTCCAACCTGGCCTTGGGCACTGCCAGGGAGGGGGCATCCACAGCTTATCTGGGCAGCCTGTGCCAGGGCCTCACCACCCTCACAGTAAAGAATTTCCTCCTAATATCCAGTCTAAATCTACCCTCTTCCAGCTTAAAACCGTTCCCCCTCATTCTTTCACTACCTGCCCTTCTAAAGAGTCCTTCCCCAGATTTCTTATAGGACCCCTTCAGAACTGGAAGGCTGCAATAAGGTCCCCCTGGAGCCTTCTCTTCCCCAGGCTGAACAGCCCCAACTCTCTCAGTTGGTCCTCGTAGGGGAGGTGCTCCAGCCCCTGATCATCTTTGTGGCCCTTCTCTGGACCTGCTCCAACAGCTCAATGTCCTTCTCATACTGGAGACCTCAGAACTGGACGCAGTACTCCAGGTGGGGTCTCACAGCGCAGAGTAGAGGGGCAGAATCACGTGCCTGGCCTTGCTGGCCACACTTCTTTTGATGCAGCCCAGGATGCCATTGGCCTTTTGGGCTGCAAGCACACATTGCTGGCATCCTGCACCCCATCCCACGCATTCCTATCCCAATCCTGCACACCAATGCATCCCGATGCATTTCCATCCCACATTCCAACCCCGATCCTGCACTCCAATTAATTCCAATAGATCATCCTGCACCCCAACGCATCCCAATCCTGAGCTCTGATGCAGACCCATCCTACGTTCCAATGCATCCTCATCCTGCATCATCTCAACCCCGCATCCTACCCCAAATCCTGCACCCCACTTTACCCCAATCCAACCTCACCCTCCACCCTAATCCTCATCCTGTGCCCCAGTGCATCCCCATCCCAATCCTGCATCCTGACGCATCCCCATCTTGCATCCCAACCTGAAACCTATGCTTCAATTTATCCCAGTCCTGCACCCCAACTGATCCCAATGCATCCTCATCCTGTGCCCCAAGATATCCCCATCCTAACCCTGTGCACTGATGCATCCCAGTCCCAGTGCATACCCATCCTGCACCCCGGCACATCCCCACCCTTGAAGGTGGGATGAATCCCCCCACATCCAGGGCATGTTGCTATCCAAGACCCTCTCCCTTGTGCCCCTGACACAGAGCACCCCAAATCCTTTCCCCTGTCATTCTGCACCCTGAATGCAGCATCAGTCACTGAGTGACTCACCCCTAAAACACACAGCCCATCCCTGGCCCCAACCCCATTACTTTCACCCTAAAACGCACAAGGGAAACTGAGGCAACAACCACTGAAGGAGGAGGTCATGCTTTGCTGAGGGGCTGTAAGAACCAGAGCTCAGTCCCAAGACCCCTGGGTCCCCCAGGGCAGTGCTCCCCAGGTCAAGGGGAGATGGAAATAAGTCCTTGAGCCACAGGGAAATTTCAGGCTGCGGGGCTGGGCTCCGATGCAGGACAGCAACTAGAGAGCACACACTCCCCATCGTGCCAGGGCTTAGGGAAAAGCAAGGGCTGATGCCAGAGCAGCTCCTCAACATGCTGCCACCATCCTCCAGCCCACCGCCGCTCCCAACACTGCTCCCATCTCCGGAGCAGGGTGCTTGCCGCTGGCTGAGCATCCCCAGCATCTATCAAGAGTTTTTAGCAGGGCAATGCTTTTGGCTGACAGACGCATGTGCCATGTTGGTGGGTGCAAGCACCAAAGGTGCTGGACGGGAGCCACGGCCTGCAGCCGTGTGAAATCCTGCTCAGGCCACTCACCGCGATTAAACACAACAATGCAATACCTCAAATAAAGGCAATTTGCATCTTCTTTGGCTCTTTCCACACTGATGGGGGTCTAGGAAGTTTTTGTGTGGGGTCATCTCTCTCACAGGGAGTTTTTTCAGCACTCAAGGTGAGATTTTGCAGACCCTTTGCTGGTAATGGGATTGAAAGTCTCACAGCATGAAGCCTGCCTTGGTCAGTTTAATTATTTGGACAGAGATGATGCTCGGGGACCAGCTCTGCTCTCACGCAGCAGCAGCTGGACCCCAGTTTGTCCTATGACACCTTACCCACATCAGAGGAGCTAATGCTGCAAACACCACGTGAGATTTCTCAGCTAACATTTCCAAGTCTTTAACGCCTCAAAAAGCCGCGTAGTATGGGGAAAGTCAAGTTTATCAAGGCTTCCATGAACCTCCCAGGTGCTGGACGGTGCTGGCACTATGCTAGGGGAAGGAGCAGATCCCTCCTGCCCCAATACTCCGGGATGCAAAGCTCCCCTCAGAGCGGTCACTTCCCCCGCTTCGAGATGACTCAAATCCTAACCAACTCCCAGACCTTCGCTAAGAGCCGAGGTTAAAAGTTACGCCGGTCCCACCCGGCGAGCATCCTGCAACGGCGTTCCTGGGATTTTTCCTGGCAAAAAACGCTAAGCGAGGAGGAAACTAATTCTCCCGGGAAGGCGGGAGCTAAATAACTCCCTCACAAATCCCATTACAGGCAGTAAGCTGCCTAGCGGGATGTACTATTTTAGCTGGGCGGGTGGCAGGAGCAGGTTTGTTTTCAGGCGCAGAGGGGTGGACTTTTGCTCCACTCACCTTTTGTGGGGCGTTGATGACACCGGTGTTGTAGCCGAATTGCAAGGAACCCAGCACCGCTCCTCCCACGGCGAGCATCAGGCGAGCCGTCATCTGCAGGAAAGGAAGGAGGAAAGAAACAAAAAGAGAGGGGTTAAACATGGGGTTCTGGCTATGTCCCCTGTATCAGAGAGGTCCCCAGCGCTTGTCCCCGAGGAGCAGCAAGAGGAAGAGGGATGCTTGTGAGGTTGTGAGCATGAATCTGCGGGCTCAAAGAGACAACTTGCCTTTTTTACAGCATCCACATGGGATAGGGGAAAAAATAATTAAAAATATATTGGTTTGGGCTTAAAAAAAAACACTGTTTGGAGATGCCAGGATTTCTTTGCACCTGGAGTGGGGTAGGAAGTTTTATCTGGGGTGACAGGGTCCCCTCCGAGGGCTCCCCGTGACAGCCAGGCAGCGCACCAGCAAGAGATGCTTCTGGGGACACCGTGGTGACGCTGCCGGCTGGCTGAGCATCGTCCCGGCA